TATGTATGTATGTACGCATGCATGGATGTACAAATGCCCGCACGAATGCACGTATGCATGCACGTGTGTAGGTATGTGCGTATGAATGTGCTTTTGCATGTATGCCGGCGTACACGAACATACTTAACCCCCCCCCCCCAACAGGACACTCAATCACTGTATCTGCACATTGTTCACAACACATGCTAACTTTCTGTTAAACTAGCCACTTCGATTGTTTGTTGCCCATGGTCATGGAAATCGGAAATCTAGGGGCCCAGCACGTAACTCGGGATAGATGTTGTCGATGTACCAATCCTCATTCTACAAGCCATGCTTGCCAACGCGTTGGGCTTGGGGTGTAGGGCATGGGCTTAAATACCGGATGTTCGCGTGATTGATGATATACTATGACATGCAACTGATGAGCTTTCTGCTATCGTTCGAACGTTTTCCCGGGAACTGGGTGTCAGGAAGTGTTATTGAATCTGCAGGATTCACGAGCTGAGGCTATGCAGATTTAGGCCAGCCTCTTTTCGCATCTGTTCGGTTTCAATCTGGTTAGAAGCGCTGCCGCAAGGATCCTGATAGAAAATGCCAATAAACAGACCGACAGATACAAACAAACATAAAATACAAATGTATCTAATGCATTATGTCCATCCTACTATATTACTCCCAATCGCAAAACATGACAACAAGGTCACCCGGCCGTGTGACGCTCTGCGTTCAAAGCTTACGAGATTCAGGAAAGAGAACAGGCCTCTCGGGTATCGTATACCTCACTATTTCTATTATCGTATGCAGGGCTTGTACTCTGTTGATGGGTTTTTTGATATTTGCAGAGCAATTCGGGTGCAGCGTTGCACAAAGGGTAGGGCTCGGGTTTCCCGATTCTGCTGGACTTGAGGTGCCGACCATTGAGTGGCAGTGCAGCGACTCCTGTGCAGCTGCGAGCATTGCAAAAAACGACAAGGCACTGATGTTAAGGTTCCACCCGTCAAGTCACCACCTAGCAGCAACAGCAAAACAGCCCGCCCTCCCGTCCAAGGATGCAGGTATTTTCAGATGTTGTGGAGATGCAGGCCCAACAAGTCCACAGCTCCATGCCCATGCAACAAGTCCACGGCTTCGCGCCCATGCCACTACTCCACACAGGGACACCAGTCATATAGTACGAAAACAGTCTGTATAGCTTTCAGCTTCCCTCAAACAGCAATCATCACCAACATGATGCCAAGCACCTCCACCGAGTGCCAGCCACGAAACATAAACTCCGGCACCTTGCCCCAATGTGTCCAAATCTTTACAACGACCACAAAACGGTTCCTATTCTGAGAACTCGCCGAAATAAGGCATGGTGCACAAACCTAAACCCATAATCTCTGGCCCCTCATTGCCAAGCCTCAGGCTTCAGAAAGTAAGCGATCTCTTAGATGCGAAGTTATACCATGAAGCCGAATCCTACCAGCACTCCTTGACGCGAAGGCGCTCCGAAACGTCGCCAGCCTGCACAGCTTAGCCGCGCTCGCGGATAAAGTTAGTGATACACAAGGCCTGACCAGTATGTGAACGGGTTGGGGCATCACGCATGCAGCCACCGTCATCTACAACACGGGGACAAGCCTACTGCATCCCAAAAGTTGTTGTGGTCGCACGCAGGTTCAGCTAGTCATGCAGAAGGACATGGTTTTCTGCAAGGCTCAAGCATGCGGCAGAACGGCATAGCCACGGTGTATGTGGAGTAACTTTTGCCGAATGGCTTAATACACGGAAGGTTCTCCTTCAGCGGTACAGAAAGTGTCCACTCCAGTTTGGGTTCGCATCAATGCACAAAGCCATAACTTTACGACGTTCCGGTCGACTCAGTTGGCCGTAGACGCGACCTGCAGCAGCAAAGAAGTATCCTGGCACACATTCTCTCCGTCGGCAAACTGTTCTGTCGTGGCTTGGAATGTTGCAACATGAAGCATGAGAACATAATACCGTCGGCTTTCTTTACAACCGTGACGACGAGCCGTGTGGAACCGGATGCTAACCTCTAGGCTATGCTTGGGCATCCTCTTGTTCAAGAGGGTCCGGGATGCCAAAACGAGATGCCCTTCATCCCCTCAAAACCCACCTTAACAAGCGTGGACATTGTTCCATAAGCTCAAGTTCGCCGTCACGTTCGGATGCCGATACCAAGGTCCAGGTGACTTGAATTCCTGCCCGGGAAACCCAATGACCTCGCCCTTCAGTTCAACATCGAAATTCTACATCATCCTAGCTGCCTGTTACACTTACCATGGATTTTGTCGATGGCAATCGTGCGGGTTCTGAGGAGAAAGTTGACTTGACCTTACCTACAAACCCTATATCCTAAAGCCTGAAGCCCTAGCACACTGGCCCGACCTGAACTCTGCGAGCATAGGGCACCTTCTTGTAGTAGTCCTCACATCCGGCGTGCGCAAATTAAAGCTTCCTCGTTAGAATCAGCTCGCTCTTAGAGAGGTAGCCCATCTCCGTCGTGCCGAGAGCAAATCGAGCCTGCTTGCTCAAGCCGTGTCCTCCAGATACTCGTCCAGCCACACCAAAGCTGCGCGCTTGGTGTTCTTCATGACCTGGACAGCTCTCAATGGGTCTATAACTCTTTTCCTTGGCCGAAACTGGTTGAGCGCCCTCGGCACCATGTCGATAAAGAGCGGATCTGTCCCAAAGATCTGCAGCGGCGGCTGTATGCCATCCCTCAACCAGGGACCAAGCTGCATAGCAGTTTTCCCAATGGTCCCTCTGTGTGCCCCCCCCCTGGCCTCGGGCACGTGGACGACGTACGGGTTTTTAGCCTGGGATCGCATATGCCATCCCCTAGCGCTCCAGCTGCCTAAACAATGGTGTACTGGGTTACATCTTTTATGGTCACCAACCTACTATTCCGGGATCATGATAATGCCAGGTCTGTCCGTCAGATCACCAGAATGATCCAGACCCCAATGGACCAGCCACCAGGATCCTTCTTATGCGCTCCCCTGGAGCTCTCCATGCGAACGCCAGAACCCTTATACTAGACTCCTCCCTGCCGGGCTCCCCGGCACGAAAGACATGGCCCATGCCTGGCATGCTGCAGAAACCCTGAATGTTACGCAGTTCCGAAGATGGGGAGCATCTTAGGGTTTGGGGTTTGGGGTGTAGGGTGTAGGTAGTTTCCCATCTACTTCAGGGCCGACAATCCCTAACCCCAACCCTCGCGCCTGAAAACCGAAGCCCAAAACCCCAAGCTTCAAACCCAAGTCACCCTCAACAGCATCCGTCTTCAAGGCTGAAACTATCTGCATGAAAGCGCAAGCCGCTTCACCAAAGAGTATATCATATCTTTACTAAGATAATATACAGTTTACAATTTACAATATGGTATAGAGAGAGACAGTAGTTTGCATTATGACTATTTACCAGCAACATCACGGTTCTTGGATGAGATGATCGTTCAGAATCATTTGTATCTACCCAAACCGCATAGTTATAATGTAATGTTCTTTCATCCTCGGAGAATCCGAGAAGCCGAAGCTTGATGCAACCCTTAACCCTAAACCCTGAAACAAAATTTCATAAGACCCCCTGCCCAGTTTGAGCTATGGCACTTAGGTAGATAGGAGTATCGGGGTTCTAGAGTGTGATCAGATATTGGGCTAGTGATTGGTGGGGTGGGTGGTGCCATAGCCCAAAAGGGGCGAATCCTCGAACCCCTAAATCCCTTTAACTTACAGATACGCTGAGTCCTAAGATAAACCCCTATACCCCCACACAATCGAAGTGCCAGGGAGGCGAGAACAGGGCACAATCTCGATGCGGCCGCCGCAGCGCCAAGCCCGAAGGGACATCTGTGGATCAACGGAGCGTAGCACACGAGGGTGCGATGTTCAGACTAGGGTTTAGGGTTTAGGGTTCTCAGAGTTTTTGGGGGTTGGGGTTTCGGGTTCAAGGCAGCGTGGAGGGCGTGGGACTTGAGGGAGTCTTTTCCACCCAGGCTCGAGTTTGCGATTGTGCTCTTGCCTACACCCCGACCTAAACCCTAAACCTAAACCATGTGCCCTTCTGGCGAGCCTCGATGTGCTCGCCGCCCCACTCAGTCATGTTGGTGTCGTAGGTTCCCATGTGCTCCCAATTGTCCTTCCTGCTGCGCCATGGGAGTCGCTAAAATTTGGGAGGCGAGGGGGAGGCAGGCTCCCGTCCATCCGTAAAGCCGCACACCGAACTCAAACTCGAAACTCTAAGAAACCCTGCACTCTTCTGATGCGCTGACCTCCCTCAATGCGTCTTTCAAGCCCTCGAACCCCGAAAGTCCTGAATTGCAACACCCACAAGACCTGAGCCCTGAACCCGATGCCCGACGCTAAGCCCAGAGGTGAGGAAAGGAGATCCAAAACCCAAAGGTCCAGAGGGCGAAGATCCCACCGGAGAGTGCCGGCGTTGGGTACGGGTTCGGGTAGATGTACCTGGCGGGGGGGCACAGGGATTATAGGATAGGGTTGAGGGAGACAAGGTTCGTCAAGAAGTGATCGTCACCGGTAGTTTTGGAGCACCTAGCGATTTCCAACCAACCATCTTTGAATGGACTGCCGTCATTGCTCGCATCAGGTGGCGCGATTGCAGAAAACCTTGCTTTCCAGACATAATTCCGGTTCCCGGACTACCATCGAGCTGTCTTTCTGTATTGCCAGAAGCATTGCCTGGCTTCGTCAGACTCCTCACAGAGTTGTTAGATACGGCCGCAGCAGGATGGACCTTTGCTACGGCATCAGAAGGCCTTCAGAAGGCCTCCGGCTCCGCTTGATGTTACTGCGAAGGGAGGGTCATAATGGGTCCTTGAGATTCGTGTCTAGCAAGGCTTCGTATATCATGGTTTTAATCAATGCGGGTCGAACGCAGACGGGCTGCGCCGGAGGGCACGACTTGTTCCGTGACTCGATGAGCGCTTTCCAGCCGAAGGTGAGGCTCCAGTCCTGATACGCCACATAGTACATGTCTCCATGGGAGTCTTAAAGTATAATACAGTCTACAGTATAGTATAGTATAGTACTATTATATTCTAGTACAGCACAGTGCAGTATAGTATTCGATACAGTAATATCGTATCGCATTGCTTGGCATGGGCGTATGCATGGGCAGTTGGGGATGGGCATGGTAGAGTCTAGTATAGCAGCGACGAAAGAAAGCATAGTGTTACGGGTTGAGTCGGGTGTCGGGGTTAGGGCTTTAAGGTCAAGGCTGGAGCGGGTTTGCTTGATGCGAACTTCATGCAAAAAGCATGCTCAACTGGAGGGCTGGCTTTTCCGAGGGAGCGGCGAAGCCACCGATATGATGGTTCGCCGGCAGGTAGCTGTCGAAGTTTTTCTGACGAGACAGCGCAGGCAGAACCACTGACAAAGAGTCCATGCAATCGGAGCCCCACACACACACATACTTTGAAGGAGGAAAGGAAATCAGGGTGAGGGGACATATGATATGTGCCCGACACCACGCGAACGCAGCAAGGCTGGCAACTTCGTGTAAAGCTCTCAACTTCAAGGAAAGATGATTCATGGTAGACTAAGTCCGTGATGACAAATGGACAAACGCTTTAGGCCTTAGGCCGTGGAGGCAAGCTACCCAGAAACAGCTGTGCTTTCCAGCTCCATCACCTCGAAACCCCTTTGTACCGCGGTTTTGGCGAGTTTGGTGGGGTGGCTGCAGTATTGATTTGTTAAGGCACCAGTCTGTAAACAAAAGCTTGAGAACCGCAACGCCTCTGGAATGATGTCCAGGATGGGCATCACCAGTGTCCTTTGCTGCTGCCCTTAGGCTCAAAGCGGCCCAAAGACCTTGCATATCTAAGGCTTTGGGCCGAAGCTGCAGTAAAGCCGTAGGGCGGCTGGTGTTTCAGGATCCGGGTTGGGCTTCAAAGTTCACGGCTTATCGGGCTGCCGCATTCAGACGCAACGCCCGTCGAAGCCTTGCCAACTTGGCACGTCCACCCACAGGGGGGGCCTTTGAAGCGCAACCCGCGTGTCAAAAACGAAGCCCTACCCTAAACCCCAACCCTAAACCCTCCAAACCAAACAAACGAAAAGCCAAGGCGCTTGTGATCTTCCGCCAGGCTAAGCTGCTCCAGGAGAGGTTCCAGCCACTGCGATGCGAGGCGCAGTCTAAGTTTGGTCAGTCAGGGTTTGGGCTTAGGGTTTAGAGTTGAGGGCTTAGGATTCAAAGTCAGTAAGTTTGACGGTCTACGGTCTTCATGGGAGTTCTGCCACGCCCTTGCAGGCCCTGAGGCCGTAGAAGGCGATCACTCTGGTCCGAGTCAAGGATTTAAAGATCTTTTGGGCACAGACCAGGACCCTCCTTGTACCCTCAAGTAGGGGGTATATGGTCCCAAATAAGGGGTACTTAGGGTCTCATAGTGGGTAGATGGAGGGTCTAGGTACACTCAGCAAGGTAATCTGTAAGCCCTACACCCATATTCAGCAGCATGAGCCAGCAAAAGACCCAGGCTGTTCACGGAGTCCGCAGGCGCCCCGGCCAACGAGTCGCAACCGAGCTTGACATGAACTACTCGCCGCAACCTTTCTCTCCCTAAAGCCCTGAAGTGCACTAAAAAGAAGAACGAACCCATAAACATCCCTAAAGCCACCCCTAAAGTGCCCCGGAGAATTCATCAACCCTAAACCGTCTTAAACTTGAGGTATTAGGACCTTATTAGGATTTTAAATCCTAAACTCCTAAACCTTGAAGTCTGGGTGGATGGAGCCTGCTGGACAACGATGCAGTGAGGCTCCATGAAGATGAGGACGGGACCTGGGCGGCAGATGGAACCTGGCATTTAGGGAACCCTGCACCTAAAAAATAGGTAAAAGGTTGGTTCAGGGGTTTCAGCCTTCAGGCTCTGGGGTCATCATCGCACCATCTTCATTTTTCACCACTCATTTTCACACATCATTTTCATCATCATCTTCTTCTTCGTTCTTCATCATTATCTCCCCCTCATGCGTTTTATCGGGGTTGGTTCTAGGGTTTATCCATAAAATCCTAAAATTTTAATACTTTTATACCTCTCGTTCATCACATCTCGCCCTCTCATTCATTATTTCATCATCATTTTCATCAATCATCATAATTCTCAGGTTTCTGGGGTGTTTGACGTTCTAACGTTTTATCAAATATTCATAATAAGTTTTATTATGAAGCTTTGTGTGGGGTTTTGTCTTGGAGTTTAGGGTATTAGGTTATAGGTGTGCCTTGGCTTCTACGACATTGACATCAACCTGACGAAGGTCAGCCTTGCATGCTTTCTATCATAATTGAAAGTGCTGACTGTTGCTGAAGATGTTGATTTCAGCATTGAGCAAGCGAATTTGTCCATCATGTGAAGCATTTCGGCTTCAGCGTCTCATACAAATAAGGGCTTTAGATTTCCGAGCAAGATGGCACCGAAGTCATCTTCAAAGTCGGCTTCTTCTTCAGGCTACGTCAGCAGTTCAACCGACATCCCAGTCAGTGATGCTGTCTTAGTTCCGGTGCCGACCTCCATGGAAAAGGACATCACATTCCAGATGAAGGGCGACATGAACACAATCAGCGTCGGCTTCAAGGAGATGATTGAGGAAACCGAAGAAAAAGACATGCCAACGGTAATTGCGAACTTGCGTGAGGAAGCGGAAAAGAAAGTGCTGGAGTATGAGTACGCAAAGTCAATCATGGAACCCACCGAGAAGAAGGTCGAGAAGAACTTCAAAATCATCGTTCAGCACAATGGAATCCAGAAGAGTTTCGATGTGACGGCTACCACTACGGCTACCTCCCTTCGCGACGCTTCGGCAAAGTCGTTCGGCTATAAGGATGGCTTCTCAAATCTCAACTTGTTCTACGGCAACACAAAAATCACACAGGGAAAGCGCGCAAACTTGCAGGGACAGAAGCTCAAGCAGATGGGCGTCGTCTTGACCGACAAATCAATTTTAGTGATGGTTTGAAGGAACCATTTAAGAAGCAATCAATGGTTGCACTTGCTTCGCGGCAAAGCCTTTGTCCTTTCTTTTGTAGGCTTTAGCGTTGCTACAAACCTTCTTGCAGACAGCAGAGCACAAGCGTGAAAAAAATCCCGCTATAAGTCGATGGATTTTTTTGCATGTCTCCTTGCTTGTTATTCGAAGCATTTCATTTAGCAACTTGCGCCCATTATCTGTAGCCATTTTATGGTTACACAGTCTAGTTTATCTCCTTTGCCCTGTCGTCGTGCCAATGTTCCAACCGAAGAAGACGATTAAGAGCATCCTGAAGAAGCCCGAGACGTCAAGGCTTTCACAACGAGCGAAAAACAACATCAGGAAGAAGTCACAGTATCTCAATCAGGACATTCCATCGAACGATGAAGAAGGTCGTCTTCCAGATGAGCTTAAGTTCTACTTCTCGCCAATGATTGAGAAAGCCGAGAAGGTAGAGAGCAAAATCACAAAAGGCGAGTTCCTAATCAAGGAGTTGCTTCACACCTTGTCCGACGAGAAGCTGACAAAGTTGAAAGAAATCTACGCTGACAAGTCGCAGGTTGTGAGCGAGGAGAAGCTGGTATGTTCAGCTAAACTCATTTTTGATGATGTCGGTCTTCTTGACCAAATCATTCCATTTTTGCAGAACTTGCGTCTTAAGCTTGTTGAAACCTACGTTGATTGTTATTCTAGCGAGTATCATTTCTTTAAATCTTCTTCGGCTGTGTTTAACAACGAGGGTTTTGTGAATGACATAGAGCAAGTTCAAGCATATCGCCGTGGTATCAAGAGAGCTACAGAGCTTTCAAATGAATCTCAACCACCACCAGCGAATGCTGATGGAAGCGGATGCCCAATGATGTAATCTGTCAGATAAAAAATCTGTTAGATTATGGGTTTGAAACTAGATACAGTAATCTGTTAGCTGACAGATTTCAATCCGCAAGCTGACAGATTTCAATCCGCAAGCTGGCAGATTTCAATCCGCAAGCTGACAGATTTCAATCCGCAAGCTGGCAGATTTCAATCTGCCTCACCAGGCTGTCCCACGTTTTGTTTCTCATAATTTCACACATTCCCTTATGTGTGTCACTCGGTTTTGTTCCACGAGTGCTTCACGCAAAGCGTGAATTGCATATATTTCCACCTACAATTAGTTAGGATTAGTGGGAAGCCCAAGAATTTATGAAAGCAGTGACGAAAGAAAGGTGTCATTGTCAAGCATCCTAAACCCCAAAATATCTAAAAACACCCCAAATATAAAATCCTAAATAAAAGTATGGACTAAATGTATAAACTCATCGAAAATCCCCATAAAATCCCACATAAAAACAATCCATAAATTATAAAAAAAATAAACCCCAAAAATAAAAAATCCGAAGTAAGATAAACCCATAAACTACCTTAAACTTCAAATCCTAAACCCCAAAACCCAAAAAATAATAGCTTAAAGTATGGACTTTTTCATCCTCTAAACCCTAAAACCATAAAAACCTAAACCATAAAGCCCTAAATCGTGGCAGGTGACGACATCCTTCGATGTCAGCTCTTCCTATCAACGGAAGAAAGCATCCTTCGATGCCGGCTCTTCCTATCATTGTGATGCTGTGCGTTTGTGGTTTTAGTGTTCAGGGTTTTTAAGGGTTGTTGTGGTTTAGTGTTCAGGGTTGTTGTGGCTTGGTTTAGTTAGGGAAGTTTTGAACAAAAAGGGGGCGTGATATTTTTTGTTTTCTTTAGGAAAAATGGCAGGTAGAAAAAGTGAATTTGTAGTATGTTTTATATTATGAAAACACGCCCCCTTTTTGATGATTTTGTTTTTTGGGGATGGTTTAGGTATTTTGGTTCTTTAAAGCGCTTCGCGCACCCAACCGTTCCCGTGGTGGGCTTTTTTATGATGCTCATGATGTTTTGATTTTTTGCTCATGTTGCCCCCCATCGCCCGCTCCCCAGCCCCCAGCGCCCCTACTTAAAGGGAAGGCACCCTTAGAGTGTAAGGAGACCATGACCGAACAACCCGAGCACTTAAAATATTATAATCGTCTTTTGGACTATGATGATGAAGAACATCCTATTTATTGTTTTATCTGTCATGATAAAAGAAAACAGTTAAATAGCACATTAAAAATTTTACCAGAAAATATAACACAAAATATTATTTATTTCACTGGTTGTAAATTTTGTGAGAAAACCTTTGAAAGTTGTGATGTATGTGTTGAAATAGAAGCACTGAAAAAACAGCGCAATAAAAAAGATGCAAGAAGACAATTAGAAATGAAAGGAGAAAGACTACATAATGAACGAGATATAATAGCAGAAGAACACGATGAAAACAACTTCACATACTAATTAAGTTTTATGATAATAATATATTATAAAACCTAATTTTATTTTTAAGTTGGTGACCCACCAGCCCCGCCC